TGTCAGGCAAACGGGGCACTATGTCGTTTTCCTCAGTTGCTTCATTGTGTGTGTGTGTGTGTGTGTGTGTGTGTGTGTGTGTGTGTGTGTGACAGTCAACCTTTTTTGGATCTACCCTGTCTATTAAAAGGCCTAATTGTCTAGAGAGATGATGCTATTGTATCCTAAAAATCTGAAAATATGGAGGTGTTCTGTTCCCCTAGTCCACCTATCAAGGTACAGAAGTTACTGCAGATTCCTGTGAGCACCTGTAATATCTGAGTCCTACTTCAGCTTGTTTTTCTTAAGCCAAAGACAGAGGGCTTCAAGCTGACTGAGACCCAAGACTTCTCTCAATGCAAAGGGAAACACCAGCCACCCTTGCTTCAGTCTGACTGGCTGGCTCGACGGAGCTCTCCTCCACAGGCTCAGTCTGTCTGGCAGCCACTTTGGCTCTGAGACTATTCAGAGGTTGTTCTGTCATCAGCTGAGGAAGGAGAATTTCACCTCCACACTGAGAGCCCTGTTACACTGTGCTTGTGAAACACTTCAACCACTCTTCCTTGTAAGCACCATATGTCTTGGTTGTAACTGATCGGTAGCTCTCACCTACCACTTAATGCTACCCTGACCCCTGCCGTCTCTTCCGTGAGCTGAGTCTGTTCTCTGGGCCAAATATCCTTGTGTTCATGGTTTCTTTTATGTGAGAAACGCGGCATGTAAATAATGGGAAGAGTAAAGAAAGCAGGAACGCAGTGCAAGGCCTGGTGCTGCTCTTCTGTAATCACAGCACACGGGGAAGTCGGGCAGGAGGGCAAATGAGGTTTTCTTTCAGCCCGGCTACAGAGTGAGCTCAAAGCCAGCGGGAACTGCACTCAGGGAGATCTTCTCACATGCTCTGCTGCTCAAAAGAGGAAGAAAACCGAGAGCTAAGAATGGTGACAGGAGTCTGTAATCTGATATCTTGAGTACTGGATGGAGGGTGGTGTCATGTGTATGAGCTGATCTAACCCTAAAACTAGGCAGAAATCTCACATCCATGTGAAACCATGCCCACCACAAGGGATGGGAAAGGTAGAGAAGCTCTTGTTAAGAAGCTTATATGACTGAAAATCGTCCTTGTTGTCTCTGTCAACCATGTGTGGGCATAACCAATACAACCTTCTTGTTCAAATATTCCTGCCCTGGTGGTATTTGTCCAACAGCATAGTCAGACAAGAGAGCTCCAGTTGAGCAAGAGAGTTCTAGTCTAGAGGACAAACACCATGAATGAAGGTGTCTTAATTCATAACTTTTAACAGGGGTTTTGCAAGTATTCAGTCTAATACTGGAAATGCACATGCACGCGCACACCCACTTGTGCACACTCATGGAACTAGAGACCTGGAATCCAACAGGAAGATCGGGAAAGTTAGGACAGATGAAGAAATAATCGTGAACCTGAAAATGAAATAACAAACTTTGCCAGACTGAAATAATGTAAAAAATGGAATGAATTAGAGCATATAATAACTGGGGGCACAATGCAATAGTTTAATGTTAAGAAGGAAGGAAACAGCAGCAGAATGAGGAAATAATAGCCAGGTTTTTACAGCAATAAACTGCAGAAGGCCCTGGCCGTGCACCGCAGCTGCCTGGGAAGGGTAACTGTGAAGGGGACCTGTGCCTGGGCAGAGAAACGAAGGACAAACGTAAAAATATGAAGTGAAATTTTGCAAATATTGTAAATTTATTTTCAAATAATTTTTAAAAACATGGAAGGAAAATTATAGTATGGCGTTATGACTTATACCACATATAAATATATCGTTTATAAGGAAAATAACGTATTTTGACAAACTGATCAATATTCCTTAAGAGATACTATATTACAGGTTTCTTAATAAGGGTTTGAAATGCTTTCTAATTGTTCTCTGTGACCTGCATTCAATCCTAAGCAGAAAAAAAACCTAAACAGCAAGATTTCCTGAAAATACTATTTTATATATTTTTATGTAACTTCACTGTATTATAACTTGTTAAAATCACAAATTATTACTTCATTAAGAAAAGCAAATGTAAATCAAGAAAAAATAAAAATACCTCAAAATGACATAAAATACCTTGTATATTTTATCCTGAAAAATTAAAATAGAATGTGAAATATTATAAGCATGTTCTGTCTATGAAATTGATGATGAAAAAGCAACATTCTTTAAAGTTACATTATAAGAAATAGATAAAAAGTCTCTATTTTTAATTTCAAGTATTTTATGAAAAGCATTCTTACAGATAAAGTGTTTCTAATTTGAAAAACCAATTTTCCCTTGCCCTCCATAGTAAGATGATGCCGAGCAGAAAGGATGAGCTCTCCCTCCTTTGTGCGAGGAGGTGCGCCTGGCACTAAGACTGAATGGCAGGAGAAGATGAGCTCTGAATTACTGACCAAAAAGGAGCCAGACCTTGTGAGCATCAGGGCAAGTAGGAAAGCCCAGGAAATTCATCTTGGTGCATGAATATTGTTTCATCTTGAGGCAGGTTATTCCTGAATATTTCCTTCAACTCGCAAAACTGATTCCTAACACAGTTAACGTGAATGCCAACGTCCACCATCTGCTCACTGACTCTTTCCGTGACCTCTCCATTACTGAAGTATAATTACAGCATCACTGACTAAGAGCTCGGGTGCAAAACCACGTCCTTGTATTTTCTGGGCTGCATTAGTCGGCTTTTAAGAAGGTCATATTTTCATTACATAGCACATTGACCTGGTGCTGAAAAAGAGAGCTGGATATCTTAAATTATTTCAGAGAAATAACTTCCATTACAAGAGCTGAGTAGTAATATAAGAAATAAGTGGTGGCTCAGGTCCAGGGAGATAGGGCACAGGCCTAAGTGCCCCCCTGGCAAGCACACAGTCCTGAGTCTGGTGTCGTGGCTCACCCCTGTAATCCCAGCGCTGAGGAGGCTGAATGCAAGAGGATCCCTGTGAGTCCTAGCAATGGAATGAGACCCCGTAGCAACCGAAATTCATTGCAGAAAACTGAAGGGAATGATTCTAAAAATTGTAAAAGTAAGATAGCCTAATTTAATTAAAATTATTCATTTCTTCAAGTTATGTAATATCTAAGGTCACACATACTATTGACAAGCTTGCCAGTAACAACTGACAGTGTCAATTTTCTAACTCAGGTACACCCACAAAATGAATGAAGGGAAAAGTCACAGACAGATAATCTCTGAGGACAGAGATCAGCTGAAAATGATGAAGTCATTGAAAGATTAATTAATGAGAGATGACCCTAAATGTTTAATGTATTGAATATTAAATATTCACTAAAATATCAGTTTTAATTGAAAAGACAAATAGCCAGCAATATGTACAAAGATGGACCCAAAAAACATAGGCACAAAAGCAACAATAAATAATAATTTACCATACTGATGTATCATAATGAGTAAGTTAGTCCCTAATTATTAGCGATGTAGTAAATATTTAAATACTTGAAAGAAGTCCTTAAAAGTTTTGAATTACAAGAATACTTATATGTCCTAATTCCTAAAATATGGATGTTGCGCTTTACTTTAGACATCTAAAATATCAAATGTAATTTCACATAAACTAATATAAAGTCAAAAAAGAAATAATTTAAGCAAGCACATGCTTGGACAAAAGCAATCAATTTATGAATTGTAATTTCATTTCAATACAAATTTGCTGGGTAAATGAAAAAATGCACTAAAGAATAACTGTAAAATAACAAAGAGAAAATTCGAAATACAATCGTGAAATGTATGGATTAAGTGTTGGAAAAAACAAAGGCAATTTTTATTTTTCCTAGTGCAAAGCTTAAGGAATGCCACAGGTTCAAAATCCATGGTTAATTTTTGGATTTGAACACTTCATTAAATTTTTACACAAATAACACAAATACAATAAGCAGTGATTTATTTTTAATGAGCGTTACAACCTGAAGCCATCAGGAGAAAGAGAAGGAAGCAGCCATCAGAGGAAGCTTGTCCCATCACAGGAAGGTGGGGCTCTCACGCAGCTCACAGAGGACACCTGAAAGGCGATGCTGCACACAGGTTTGCAAATTGGCAAACTCACATTTCAGCTTCAAGGCTCTAAAGAAGGAGATTTTTAGTTTTGCTCAAACATGCAATACATGTGGATCTCACAGGTTTTAGGTACCCTGATATGACTAGATGTTAAATGCTAAAGTCAGTAAAGAATAAAGATCATATAGAGAATTACAGGAATTATGGTAGATATGCAGATAAATGCATAAACACCCAACCAGGAAAGCACTCAAGAAACTATCAGTAGAAGGAAATGCTGGTCCATCTTTTAGCTATTTTGTGCTTATAAATTAAATTGAATAAAAGATTGGTAAAGGTAAATGTATACTATTCAGAAACACGAGACTGCGCTATTTTGACATATTATAGGAATCCAAGGAATCCTGTGATATTGAGTAACATTAATGGATTGTTCCAAAGAGTTCTATCCACGTTGTGATCAGAGGACATGGAGGGATTATATTGCCCTTGCAGATTGGCATGCTGGATTTTATTATATCATGGGATTAGTGTGGGTCATACATGAGCCGAGCTTTAGATCTAGAATCTGAATGCTGTAACCATGATTCCTAAGTCATAGCTCCAGCCGCTCATTTACAGACACACATAAGAAAATGATGTGCTTTTCACTATAAAGCTATATAAACTTTAAATTTATAGAAATATTATATTTATGTATTTAAAAGTTATGAAAATTTACTCACATTGTAAATAAAGACTTAAAATTACAAGTATTTACATCTGAGATTCAGTACTTCATTCATTATTCAAAATTAAGTATGAAGGTGACAGAATATGTGCTCTCAAATGTTTGAGACACTATTTGATAAGTGAGGGGCAGATGAATAGCATTTTAAAAAGTTGAGTTATTTTCAGAATGAGACTAAAGTGTTCTCCAGAAGGGAAGTTAGGAGGCAGAGCACAAGTGGTCCACTGGAATTCTGAGTAATAGTGTTATTTTAGTTGCAAGGAGCCATCTCTTTTCTGCAGATTCCAATGACAGTTTTTTTAACTTCTCTGTTCCTGAGGCTGTAGATGAGGGGGTTCAGCATGGGGATCACGCTGGTGTGAAACACAGAAGCCACCTGGTCCTTGCCCAGGGCGTAGGACTGCTTTGGTCTGAGGTAAGTAAACAGCATAGTGCTGTAAAAGGTGGTGACGCCCAGCAGGTGGGAGGCACAGGTGCAGAAGGCCTTTCGCTTTCCTGCAATGGAGTTAATTTTCAAGACAGTGAGGAGAATGGACACACAGGATGGAGAGATGGTGATGAGGGACAGCACTAAGTTGAATCCAGCACACATGAAGATAATGAGTTCCACATCCGTAGTATCAGTGCAGGACAAGGCTAAAACCGGGGAGAGGTCACAGAAAAAGTGATGGATGGCATTCGAGTTGCAGAAATGCAGTCTGCTTATGAAAATCACATTCACAGTGGAATGCACAAGACCAGGGACATAAGAACCAACTAGCAGTGAGTGGCATAGTCTTGGGGACATAAGGACTGGATAGCATAAAGGGTTGCAGATAGCCACATAGCGGTCATAGGCCATGGAGGAAAGGAGAAAGCATTCAGTAGCAATAAATATTAAAAAGTACATCTGGGTGAAGCAGCCCAGGAATGAGATGCTATTGGTGGAGGACACTAAGTCCTGTAAGGATCTAGGGCTGATCACACTGGAGTAGCTGAGGTCGAGAAAGGACAGGTAAGGGGGGAAAATGTATATGGGGGTTTGAAGCCGGGGGTCCAGACAAATGAGCAGGATCATCCCTGCGTTCCCCAGCACCATGACCAGGTGGATGGCGTGGAGGAGCAGGAAGAGGCCCAGCTGTGTCTCTGCAGAATCTGCCAGCCCCAGGAGGATGAAGTCAGGCACATTGGTGTTGTTCCAACTATGCATGAGGTTAACTGCATTTATCTATTAATTAATCAATGTTAAGATTTCTTATTACCAAGAACATTTTTGTTTATATGAATATTTCAGTGTTTTTAATTAGTGTACCCAGAACATGAGCAATCTTTTGTAAACAAAAGGGAAAA